AGAGGCGCCGGCGGGTTGCGAAGCATTAGAAGGTGATCAGAACAACTTTAAGGAAATATTACAAGTAATGAATTGACTATTACATTAGTGAACCGGAGTGCCCTTCAAACTATTGCAGTAGTGATATCAGAAAGTTTGCAGTGAGGAAAAGAATGCGAACAGAATGCTCCAGCCCTCGCCGGCGCGCAGGCACATGCGTAAAGTCAAGTTTAAGTTACGCTAAGTTATCTGCGCCGCTATGGCCTCGGAGACGTTAATGGTCGCGCTCGAACTGTCGAAAGGCGCCGCGTCTTTCGCGGCTGGCCCCGGCACGCTGTACTGACGAATGCCCGAATGTTCGACGTATATGTCTCGGGACCACGCGATCTTCACCGAAACTTTTAATTTTCGCATCAGGACTGCGTACCATGATGAAATGCGCGAGTTTATTTACATAGGCGGTCGTTATGTGGGTGCCATGCGTCCAGGGCGCCTACAACGATGCCGTCGACATAGACGACGTGATCGCTTGTCACTAACGCGTCCGCGAGGGGCTGACGTTTTTGAATTTTTTCTAGCCTCGCCCTTTCCAACGCTTCGAGCTTGTTCTTGAATAGCGCGGTCACGTATATAATGACGACGGTCCTTGACGGCTCGTGCGTCACAACGATGTCAGAACGCAGAGCCGCAAGGTCTCGGTCCACGCCCGGAACGCATTGATATACCCTGACTACCACGGGAATCCTGACTGCCGCGGCAAGCCACTCGACAATCGCGTTATGGCGCAACTTCCGAGCGGTCGCATGGGAGCTGCAGAGCACATGGGACAAAATCTCGAACTGGTACCCACACTTCCCGGATCTCCGGTCACCGTCGCCCCATCTGCGCGACCCATTTAAGGGGAGCACGTCGATGCACAAGGCGCGCGCGATGCACAAAGCGCCAGTCGGCAAAGCACAGGTACTAATCCGTCCGCATGAAGCGATTGCTCGCTCCCTGGTCCGGCTTCGCGATAAGCGCTGACATGTAGTGTTCGGCCATGGCAGCCCCAAGACGGCCAATGACTTGCCGCTATGTGGCCGGAGGTATGGTCATTCTCCGGCCGCCGCGTGCTTAGCACTCCAGCGAAAGCTCGCATCGAGCAGAATCCCAGCGCCAACGGAACCAGAACCGATGCGCGGACTTCAGCGCGGCCGATCTTAACAAGCGTTCCCGCGAACAGAACAACACGCGACTAGAGGATGATAACGACAGTTCCCTCTCGCGCGAGTCCGAAAGATACTTGGCGATGTCCTCCTCGTTTGGCGTACGCCGGATTTTCGAGCGGACGGTGTTTTCCAACGTCGACCTCGCAACTCGTGCAATCGCCGTGTCCAGTGCATGCATCACTTTGAAAGCATCGGCCACGACAGTAACGTCAGCAAGGTCAGCCAACGGAGAGAGCCCACATCCACCCCAAGTGGGTGGATGAGTACCACCTCTGCCTGGAACGTTGGGGGAGGTTTAACCATCCCTTCACCGTCCGCTTTAGAATCCGGTCAGTCTCCACTAACGGCGACTTCCGGACGGTTCCCGCCCCCCTTAGCAGGAAATCAAGTCGTGGCAACAGGAACGCCG